GAGAGGAAGAGGAGCCAGCAGAGGGGAGGAGGAAGCTCCCCGGCTGTTCCCGAGCGATACAGGGGCTACGAGGAGCTGCTCGGCGGAGACGTCGACCCGGATTTCATCGAGCCCGTGGGTATGTGAGGAGAGGAGCGGGCTGGGCCTGGAAGTGCCTTGGTGGGAGGATGATCAGCATGGGCCTCCCTGGGCCTTGTGGGGGCCATGGACCAGGCAGTGGCTGCAGGGGAGGCGCCGGGGCGTCCGTTATCCCGGTGCCTTCGCAGGGATCCAGAGGAACGTGCAGGCACTGAGCCACCTCCTGAGGCACCCGCGGGTTTACCGGGACCCGACGCCACGGCTGCGCGGTGGGCAGAGGCCCTACGTGCCACGGAGGAAGGTGAGGAGCTCCAGGGAGAACAGGCCCCTCTGCTGCATCCGCACTAGGGAGTGAGATCAGCCCGGGGGTCTGGGATAGATCCCGGACCTTGTGTGTGGCCTCGACCCGAGCTCCTCATTCCAGTGGCTCCCAGCTCCCTCTGCTCCAGCTTATTCTTATTATTAGGAAGATTAAGTGAGCAGGGCCTGTTCAGCCTGGAGAGGAGCAGCCTGAGAGGGATGTGACCAACATGGACAAGGACCTGTGGGAAGAGTGCAGGGAGGATGGGGCCAAACTCTCCTGGGTGGTGGCCGGTGCCAGGACAAGGGGTGCCGGGGCCAAGCTGAAGCCCAGGCAGCTCCATGTCCATGTGAGGAAGAACTTCCTTGGTGTGAGGGTGCCGGAGCCCTGGCACAGGCTGCCCAGAGAGGCTGTGGAGTCTCCTGCTCTGGAGATCTCCAACCCGCCTGGATGCGCCCGGGTGCCCCGTGCTCTGGGTGTCCCTGCTGGAGCAGGGGCTGCACTGGGGGATCCCTAGAGATTCCTGCCACCCCCAGCCCTGCTGGGATTCTGGGATTATTCTAGCCCTTCATAGCCAAAGCTCCCGGCAGCCCAGGGCAGCTGCTGTCACCTGGGCGCAGTCCCACGTGCCGCTGCCATTGGCTTCCACGGTGGCTGCCAGGTGGATCCAGTGGGATCCACGGCGCCGCTCTGGGCTCGCGGAGGCTGCTCAGCTGTTGCCCAGTACGGATAGAATTTTCCATCCAGGAGCTTCTATCCATAGGAATCAAACGTCTCGCCTACCGCCTGCAGGAGCTCGGGTCGACAGTGGCCGAGCAGCACCGCGGAGGTTGAAGCTTCCTGCTCTTTCTTGCAGTCTGGGAAGATGCCGGCCCCTCCGCCCCGCCGGACGAGAGCAGAGGTCCTGGAAGGGCTGCTGCTGGCCATGAGGAGCTCCACGGCCATCACTGAGGTCCCCCTAGGTGAGTCCCCCCATCCCTCCTGTGGATTAAGTGTGTTTAACCCTACCATGAAGCTGCGGCGTGGCCATCGCAGCAGCTCTTGGGACGGGGGGTCCTGGGGCTGCTGCAGAGGCAGGAGGGAAAAGGAGCCGGGAAGAGGAATCCCTGGCACCGCTCACACCTCTGCCCTTCTCCAGTGTCTGTTCTGCGAGGGAAAAAATCCAACCCTGAAGCCTATCGGGAGGCCCTGAGGCTCCTGAGGGAATTCCAGGAGGGGCCCCAGGGGCCTGTCCCCAGCGCTGCGGGTCAGGCCAGCTCCCTGGATGAGCTGCAGGCCATGAAAACCCTCCTGGTGGAAGTGGCTTCCAAGCAGAGCAGCTCCAGCCAGCTCCAGCTGCCGAGGAAGAGGGTGCCCAAGAAGATGCTCAAGGTGAAGTTTGCAGCGTAGCCCGTGGTCGAATAAAGCATCCCGCACCGTGTTGCCTCAGGTGGGAATGTTGTTGCTTTGTGTCTTGTTTGCAGCCGGGTTTTTTCCTCCTAAGGTTTGGAAGTCCCTGCAGGGTATGGATTTGGCCGGCAGCCTCCAGTCCCGCTGGGCTCCCTCCATGGAGCCCACACGCTCGCTGGCCTGCCCTGCCATAAAACGCAGCGGGCACCAGCTCCCAAACGGAGCGGAATTCTCCTTAAAAAGTGGCCCCTAAAAGGACGGTGGTTGGTGGCAGCCCCGCGTTGCGACGAGGGACCGACGAGACGGACCCCAAACGCGGCCAGGGAGCGGGGCCGAGCACAAAACACACGATGCAGCCCCCAAATCCGTGCCCCACACGAGGAGGGGACACGGGCAGCAGCATCACCACCCTCACGTAGCCCCTGCTCACCGTTTCGCTCCCTTTCGCATGCAGCAGCTTTGACAAACACGGCACAAACAGGTAACCACCGCCTGTAAGAACCTGGTTTTATTCCGTTTTTAACCTCGGCCTTTGTCCTGCGGTTAAAGTCTTGGTTGCTGTCAACACGTACACGAGAGCCGTACACACCTGGCCTGTTTCTGATTTGTGACAATTTTGCACGAGCAGCATTTACTCTGTTCCAAATAACAGAAGCCACAACATGACAAGACGCCTGCGTGTCGTTATTTTTTTTTTTTTTACCCACACATTTTTGCACATGCAAGTAAACAGTCCTCCGGTAACTCCCATTGCTTGGAAAACAGCTGGATGAACAGCAGAGCCCCCCAATGACCGGAGCCTTTCAGCATATCGGTGTTCCGTTGCGAGGTGAGGATAACACGAAAGCACAACGATTTAAAGCGGAAAAAAGTGCAGCAACATCTAGATTTGCTTCAAACAGCTTGACAGTAAACACCAAGAAAACCAGGCATACACAAAACCCCTTGGAACGGGCTGCAGATTTGTTTTTTTTTTCCTGTTTGCATAGAGAAGAGCTAATTCTAGAGCTGTTTGCAGCGTTTTAAAGATGGAAGGGGGAGAAGAAAAAGGTTGGTATCAAATGCAGGAGCTGGGGCCAGCGTTGATCCCCCTTTTGGCACTTCATTTGTTTCCTGGCATCTGTTCTGACTCCAAAACTGAATGCTAACACCTCATTTTTGGTTATTTTTTCCCCCACAGACGCTCCCGAGAGTCCAAAGTTGCTTTTCGGAGTCAGCTGGCATCTTTGGCAGACACAGTCGTCCTGTATTAAACACCCCCAAGCCCGTCGGGGCACGAGGCCGCGCTCCGAGCGGCGCAGCCTCCTGCCCTGGCGGCTTGGAAATTCCTCTCCCGAGAGGGCAACGCAGGTGAGAGGCAGCTTCACGTTTTGGAAGGCCACGAACGTGCCCGCAGCTGCACCCGGCTGCAGGAAGGACGAGAAACTGCTTGCAAATATATCTAAAGAAAGAGGTGGGTTTGCGTTAGGGCCCCTGCAGCCCTTGAGCTGCATCCGTGGTTCAGCCAGAAGCTTTTTGTTTCTCGACCGATGCTTCTGGTGGCAAAGGAAGCCATTTCTGGCATTTCTGCTCTTTCGGGTGATGTTGTATGCAGTTACTTTTGGGGCAAGTTTACAGCAAATCAAGGACATTAACAGAACATTCCTCCTAGCATAAAATCGCCCCCAGCCTCCCGCCGGCTCGAGCGGATTTTGGCCTCGTGACGGAGACGCGACCGGCAGCCGCCCGCGTCCTCCAAGGGCTTGAAGCAAGCAGAGACTCAGCTTGAAAATTAACACACAAAAACCTCCATATTGAAGTTGTCTTTAGTTTGGAACTTGGGAAAACCAAATCTGAGCAGATCAGGGTGGGTTTCCAGCCGTATCTTGTTCTTCAGAGCTGCTGCAAAGGGCAAATTCAGAGCAAGGCTGGTCTGGGTACAATAACTTAACTGACCCAGGCTGTAATAATTTAATTTCCTTCCAATTTGCTTTTTCCTTCCAATGCAGTTTGAGCCCAGAAACTTGCACTGGCTTCAGTTAGCACCTAACGAGGCTGCGGGTGGCATGGGGTGCAATTTTAAACATCCAGAAGTTTGTGTGTTAATTATATATATATATATATACACACACACACACACACGTGCATATATATATATATATATAATGGAATCATTGCTATAAGATTTTTCACAATGCAAGTGTCGATCTGTTGAAATATAGTATTTAAAATATATAAATTTTATCCATTAAAATATAAGATTTCTTTTTCTTTTTAAGAAAACAACAAAACAAAAACAAACCACAATCCAGTTCAGTTAGGTAAAAAGCTCCAGGGTCCTTGCAGTTCCACATGTCTGCCAAAAGGGAAAAAGAAATCCCCGTTTTTGTTTATTTTTAACCATTTTTAACCATTTTAGTGGAAGGGGAGGAGGAGATTCCTGCGGCTCCTGAGGGTCCCTGGTGAATACACTGCAAGGCAGCAGGTGAGGATGTGGCTGAGCTTTTGCTGTGCTAATTACTTGGAAAAAAAATCAAGGAAATGATTTCATGGCTAATGGATGGTGAAGAGGCATCGGGTGGGAAGAGCAAAGCAGAAAATGCCCTGCGAAGGAGCGCTGGATTCGGCGCTGGGATATGGGATCCGTTCTCCTCATGGGATCCTAAATCCCAGAAATTGGTCCAGGAAGGACCAGCCACACGCTGGGTCATGGGGGAAGCGGGTGGTGACTCGGATGAAGCCGCCAGGCCAGCTGGATTTGCTGTTCTTTATTATTATATTATTATTATATGTTATTGTGACTCACGGTGGCCCAGCCCGTGCTCCTGGCCATGCTGGCAGGTGACATCCAGGACACGCTGGTCCTGCTCTAACACCTCCTGCCTTTGAGGGGAGGGATTTAGTCACCGCAGCTCTCCCAGCAGCACCAATTCCTGCCTGGAAATGGCCAGTGCGGAGCATCCCGGCTGGCACCTTCCCAGGGATGTGTCAAGCACCGCGGGATGCCTGTGCTGAACACGCAAGGACGGGGCTCGTGTGGTGGGAGCTCTCGGGATACCCGTCCCTACGGAAAACCTCCCTCCTCACATCCCCCAGGCAGCGTTTTCTGTGCCGGATTCCAAGTGTTGATGGGAAGAACGGGAAATACATTGGATGAGAGGGACTGGGAGCAGTTCTGCAAAGGGAACGGCTCCCAGCTGCTCTGCACATTCCCCCGTCTCATTAACATAAATTTACAAGTTCTCCTAGTGCTTTTCAGCCAAATCCTCCTTTTCCAGCTAACGTGGCCATCCGTGTAACGCGAGCGGCCTCCGATCCATCCTGCTGCTGCGGGCGAGTGCCCCGGAGGAGGATCCATCCGATGCTTCCGCACCCAGGACCTCGTGCCCGGCTTGGGGAACCCAAACACCATCCATTGCATTTACCTTGCAGTGTAGTGTGGACAGGCCCAACGGTCTGAAGGAAGTGATGGACCAGAGGGCTCGGAGGGTTTGTTTTTCCCCTCTTTTTTTTACTATGTTTTTTTGGTTAACTCTGAAAGGACCCTGGCTCCTCTCTGAACTGGACCTCCAGATGTCTTACCACCAAAAAGAAACACAATCGTGTGGGTGGAAATATGACAAAAATCAGTCTTCCTATAAGACCATCTCCTAAGACCTCACAGTCCCCTAGGAAGGCCCCGGCGTCCCGCGGTGCTACTTGGCCCCCAAGGTGCTCTTGGAGCGCAGCGGGTACCGCTCGGCGCGGCCCTTCCGCCTCTCCACGGTCCTGTTCTCGCTGTCGAACACCCGCTGCAGCTGCAGGGCCAGCCTGCGATCGCGCTCCTCCTG